ACCCCACACTGCCCAGCTCACCATCCAGTCTGAGTCAGTAGCCAAACATCCAATCCAGCGTCCATTGTGGGGCCTCGAGCACTCCTGGGAAGGAGAGAGGAGGTGAAGACACCGGAGGATGGAGAATTAAGGAAACAAGGGCGTGGGTCTCTCCTCACCTCATGCTTATAGACTTCAATGGTCTGAACCTCTTTGGCTATACGGAGATCTGTGTGGAAATAAAACCACCAGGACTCTTGATGAGCCACAACGCCCCAACTCCACTTATCCTTTTTTATTTTTATCTATTTATTTATTATTTTGGAGACAGAGTCTCTACATAGCCCTGGCTGACCTGGAACTCACTCTGTACACTAGGCTGGCCTCTAACTCAGAGGTGCTCCTGCCTCTGCCTCCCAAGTGCTGGGGTTAAAGGTGTGTGCCACCACTGCTTACTTTCTTACTAATTGGACGTTTCCTTACCCCAAAGCCGCACAGCTCCATCCTCACCACCAGACAGCACCTCAGGGCTGCGGTCCCTCAGTGCCAGGCAGTGGATGTAGTCTGTGTGGCCCCGAAGGGCCCGCTGCAGGGAAAAGGGAAGGCTCAGAGGGAGACCCAGGAAGCATACAAAGTTTGGCCCCGACCTGCCCTGGCTGCAGACCCTCACTCACTGTGAAGGTCCCAGTTTCCAGGTCCATAGTGTGCAGCTGGCAATCTCCCCCGGCTAGAATCAGTGAATTCTCCTGTGGGGAAGCAGGAGAGAACGGAAGGTCAGTGTCCGACAGGGCAGAGAAAGTGTAGAGGAGCAATGTTTGGCCTAGAATGGTCACAAAGAACTCAGACCTTGGGGACAAGCAGCAAGGCGTTGATTTCAGGTACTTCCAGGCTGGTCCTAGGTGGAGGAGGAAAAGCGTCAGAATCACACAGGTAGTGTCTGACTTCACATGCCCTCTGCCAACATGGTCCCCACTCACCTGTATGGTGGCTGACGATGCCACAGTTCCTTACAGCCCTTCAGAGAAACATAGGAGGAAACACTGAATGAGCCCCAAACCTCTCCAGGTGGGGAAGCCCAGCCTGTCCCCAGGCTCTAGACTCCTCACCTTCTTGAGGATTTCCGCCCAAAGCCAGCCCTTCACTTCCCCATCGCCAGCACTAAGGAGATGCCGATCCGTGGAGACCATGCTATAGACAGGCCCATCGTGGGCTAAAGAGACACAGAAAATGTTAATGAGCCCTATGTCCCCATCTCTATCCTGAGGTCTCCTGAACCCCACTCAACAGCTATACCCACCGTGGAAGGTCACCATGGGTTTTTTGCTTTCTTCTTTGGCCTCTGAACTCAAGGCAGCAGACAAACTGAAAGAAAAGTGGGGAGGGAGGAGCCAAGAGTCAAGCAGGGAGCATTAATCCCAGAAGGCACCAGTGCTCAGGCTCAGGTGTGGTGGGAATCGGGGAAGGGGTACCTGAAGATGGCAATCTGCCCATAATTGTTGCCAGCTGCCAGGAACTTCCCACAGGGTGAGACACTCTGGGAGTAGATGGTCATGTGCAGTCGCTGCAGGGCCTGAAAGACCTCAGCCTGTGGGAAGAGGGCAGATGAGGAGAGTCTGGGATGCTGGGGCCTCATCCTACAGACTCCAGCCCTTCTCAGTCACAACCATAGGTAGCACCCCATACAACAGCGGGTCCAGGACAGTGCAAAAGAGAGAACTGAGGCACAGTGCTCAGGACTTAGAGCGAGCACCAAGACTCTCCTGTCAGCTGACCTAACAGGGAAGTCTGTTATAACGAGGTAAACTAGGGAATATAAGAGCTTTGTAAAATGGGGTAGTGCACAACAGTGATCCCAGCACTTGTCAGGTGCAGGTAGGAGGGTAATTCAAGATTATCCTCAGCTATATATATAGTGAATTCAAGGGTAACTTGGGCTACATGAGATAGTCTCCCATACACACACACATCTGAGGGTGTAATTGAGTTGTGAGAGCACTTGATTAGCATGCACCAAGCCTTAGGCTCACTCCCCAGCCCTGCACACTGCATAAAGCAAGCACACACCTGTGGCCTGTGCTCCCAACACTGAGGAGGTGCAGGCAGGAGGACTTCCTCTACTCCATGACAAACTCCAGGCCAGCCTGAAATATGTCGGCCCTGTCTCAAAAAACTAAGTGAATAAAAATAGTAAATCTTTAAAAAACGGTGTGGGGGGATGTGTCTGGGAGATGACTCAGCAGGTAAGTGTGCACTACTGCAGAGGACCGCCCCCAGAACCCACTGGCAGATCACAACCATCTGGAACTCTAGTTCCAGCAGATCTGACGTCACCCCTCCCCCAGAAAGGTTCCCTTATAGACCAGGCTAGCCTCAAACTCACAGAGATCCACCAGCCTCTGCCTCCCGAGTGCTGGGATTAAAGGTGTGGGCCACCATCGCCCCCTTTTTTTTTTAATTATTTACTTTTATGTACGTTGGTGTTTTGCCTGCATGTATGTCTGTATAAGGGTATTCAATCCTCTGGAACTGGAGCTACAGACAGTTGTGAGCTGCCATGAGGGTGCTGGGACTTGAACCTGGGTCCTCTGGAAAATTGACTAATGCTCGTAACTGCTGAGCCATCTCTCCAACCCCCAGAAAGGGTCTCATAAAAAGCCCCCTTGCTGTGGAAGCAATCCTGTCTCACATCAACAGAATCCTAAGTTATTTAGATGCCATGTTCTACAGAACTTTGAAATGACTGAAGGTTACCTTTCTATGCAGAATACAATCTCTCTGTATCTAAAGAGCCTAATTAATCTGACTAACAAATATGAATGACTATTGACCTATAATAATTAATACCTATATAACTTAAAGATTAAGACTTCATATCAGAATATTAAACAATCTTTAAACAACTGTGCAGTAAAACAGGACAATGACATCAAAATGTAAACATTGTATCAATGTATAAATATCTTGATCAGAGGTAGAAATATATAATGCAATATGATAAATATATCCTAAAATTGTATCAATATACAAAATGTCTTAGAGGTAGAAACATGCATGCATACAATATGACAAAATAACTTTGCATAGGTGTACAAATATTGTAAACAGAAATAACAAATATAATTTGAACTTGTATCAATATACAAGAAATTATACTAATGTAAATTGCCCATAATAGCTCACAATTTATTACTCACTTTTATTATTATTATTATTATTAGTGTGAATAAGTTCACACTAAATTACCTATTATCCCATGCATCCTCTTTTTCCTAGAACTCACTATGTAGATCAAGCTGGCCTACTGGATTACAGGCATTTGTAAACCCACTCCTATATGGGTGCTGGGAACTGAACTTGGTACCTCTGGAAGAGCAGCAAGTGCTTTTAACCACTTGGCCGTCTCTCCGGCCCCTTGTGATGCCTCTTCTGGCCTCTGAGAATACCATAAGCACACATAGCACACATACAACATGTAGGCAAAACACGTATAGACATAAAACAATGAATAAATCTTACAAGAAAATAAGTGGGCCTAGTGTGGTGGTGCACGCCTTTAATCCCAGCACTTGAGAGGAAGAGGCAGGCAGATCTCTGAGTTCCAGGCCAGCCCGATGTACTTCGTGAAACTTTGTTTTCCAAAAGAAAAAGATAAAGTGGCCCTTGAAGCTGAAGGTAACTACTCAATTGGTAGACCATGCTCTCTCTCTCTTTGTTTTTGTTTTGGGTGTGTGTGGGGGGAACAGGGCTTCTCTGTGTAGCCCTGGCTGTCCTGAAACTCACTCTGTAGACCAGCCAGGCTGGCCATGAACTCAAGAAATCCATCTGCCTCTCTCTGCCTCCCAAGTGCTGGGATTAAAGGGATGCACTGCCACCCCCAGTTCGTGCTCTCTTTAAAGACTAAAATAATTATGTGTATACGTGTGTGATGGGAGTGTGTGCAAGAAAGTACAGGCGTCCACAGAGGCCAGAGGACTCAAATCCCCTGGAGCTGGAGTTATAAGCAATTACAAGCTTTGGAACTTGAGTGCTGGGAACCAAACTTGGGTCCTCTCCTATCTCTCCAATCGCTAAAGCCCATTCTTACCCAAAGTCCCGTGTTTGAGCACCAGCATTGTATATATTGGGCATTATGGCACACCCAATAGCCTATAAGACTCGGGAGATAAAGGCGGGAGGAACAAGATCTTTCTCCATTATATAGCAAAGTTCAAAGAACGCTGGAGATAACATAAGACTATCTCACAAACAATAAGCTGGAGTTTAAACAATGGAGCATGTTCTTACCATGCCCAAGGCCCTGGGTTTAAAAAAAAAAAAAGGCTCATGAATGATGAACTTTTTCTTTTAAGACAGGGTCTCACTATGTAGCCCTGGATAACCGGGAACTCGCTGTGCAGCAGGTTAATTCCTAACTCAGAAATCTGCCTGCCTCTGCCTCCCCAGTGCTGGGATTAAACGTGTGAGGCACCACATCCAATGGTGCTAAATTTTTTTAAAGTGTAAATTTTTTTGTAAAGTGTAAAATGTACTGACATCTAATCCCTATGACTCACCCTACTAGATTCCAAAGATCGGAGATCACTATTTTGGGGGTCAGAGTCCGAGTTCCACAAACCACCTACCTACACTGGGCATCCTGCAGCATTCCTTGGCTAAGCGGTGAGGGCAAGACTACAAACCCCAGAAGGCACTGTGCGCACACTCCACTCACCTGACCCAGAGGCACCGGGGACGGTGCGGCGTGCTCCATCTTCAGAACTACAACTCCCAGAGGGCTCTACGCGCGACACAACCTCTCGACGCTCGACAGAACCTTTCGAATCCCTACGTGCCTGAGAGTGGCTCTTCTCGTTGCGCCCCAGGACCTGGCACTGCCTGCCGTTCAACAACTAAGGCGGCAGGCCCGTATGGTCTCGAACCACCGAAACCTGGGAGAGCTCCGCGAAGCACCCTTACGCTAAATAACGTCCGGGACTGTCCAGCTAAGCCGAGTCCCCTCCCCCATCCCGCCAGCCCGTCCCGCCTTCTAACCTCGCGCTGCTCGCCTTCTACGCCTGCGTCGTACGTTTCCGGTGCGCACGCCGGTGGCCCCGCCCCTCGCGCTGTACCACGCCCTCACAGGCTCCGCCTCTGCCGCCTGGATCCCACCCCTCTATCTGCGGGACCCTGAAACGTAATGATCCTACAACAGCCCCTGGAGCGAGGCCCCCCAAGTCGGGACCCACGGGCCACCACTGGGGTGGCTCGCGGCCTGGACGCCAGGTGCGTAAGCAGTCCCTGGGTGGCCGGACTAACGGAGGGCAAGAGCTTTGGCTGGGGACCCAGGGCCGGAGAGGGTGATCCTGGGAAGTGAGGCGAGGTGGTGCAGGAAACCGTGGTGCTCGAGCTTGTGTTGGAGCTGGGAAGCCACGGTCAGAATTTCCGAGGTAGCCTGGTGGATGACGGCCTGGGAAAGGAAGGTGGCTTAGGCCACACAGACCAGACTGATTCTGGAATCCTGGCTTACTTTGCAGGCTCAGGAGGGCAGATCATCGGGAAGGGGCCAAGAGAGTGGGCTACACCTGGCTCGGTTTCCCGGCTCCCCTCTCCTTGGAGCTGTGCCCATGAGCACGGAGACCCCTGGAGAAGGAGCTTTAAGTTTGGGGGCAGATGGGTCCCCTGAGATGTCACCTTTGGCCCTCCTCATCAGTTTGCCTCCACCCTCAACATCCCTGCTTCTGTTCCTCTCTGGTCTTTCCCCCAGGGAGCCCTTGCACAAGCAGTTTCTTTCCGAGGAGAACATGGCCACCCACTTCTCTCGACTCAGCCTACATAATGACCACCCCTACTGCAGCCCCCCTGTGACTTTCCCCCAGGTCCTGCCACCACTCAGGTAGGCACCTCCCCTTGCGGGGCCTTCTAGAGGATCCCGTGCAGTCGTCAGGGCCCCTCCTCATACCCTGCCTCATCCCGCTATTTTTAGCTTCTAGCCAACTTCTGTGCTGTTTTCCATCTTTGGCTCCAGGGGACCTGGACCTGGTAGGAGGTGGCTCTGCCAGGCCAGCCTCTGCCCCATAGTTTCACTGTCTTTTTTTCTTCTTTCAGGAGCTCTTGCCCAGAGCTGCTTCTGTGGCGCTATCCTGGGAGCCTGATCCCTGAGGCCCTCAGGCTACTGAGGCTGGGGGATACCCCCAGTCCCTTCTACCCTACATCCCCAGCTGGGGACATCATGGAGCTCTAAGTGCTGGCGGCCAATGTCCCTCCCCACCTTGTTCCCAGACAACAAAGACCAGCAAAACCCACCCCGACCCCCCCAGAAAGAAGAGGTCCTTCCCCCTGTAACAGGATAGATGATACTGAACTCAGAGAAACCCTGAATGGGAGGGGCAGCAGCTTGGGAAGGGGAAAGTGTCACCCTATTAGAGAATAAAGATTTCTGAGCAGTTGAAGGTTTCTCAACAGCCTTTGTGGAGGGTGGAGTGCTGGATGCTGGGGTTTCCTCCTCAAAATCTTCCCTGGAAAACGGTGAGGGCAAGCCAGGTCCTGGCAGGCCGGGCTCCAGGCATTGAGAATGTGTGAGTCAGAGCCTCACCCCCCGCCCCCGAAGTGGCCGACTGACTCCCTCCCTTCCTCCAGTTCTGGGGAGTCAAGCTAGGGATCAGGCCATATTCCAAACCATTTAAAGTTAAAAGATTCTTTTATTAATAAATTCTTCCTCCCCACCAAACTTTATCCCCAAAATAAATATCCCCCCCACTTTAGGGGATGGGTTATGTGTGTGTTTGTGTTAGGGCCAGCCCTCCCAGAGGGCCAGCCTCCTTAGTGTTAAGAACAGGTCCTTAAATCTGACCCACTTCCAGGGCTGAAACTCAGTGTTAGTTGAATTTTAGCCCATCGGAGTGGGTGGGACCTAGTGTGTCTGTCCCTCAAGTCAGTCAGGCCTCCAGGACTTGGGGAGAGCAAAAGACCCCCTTGTGCAAATGCTGCAGTTCCTTAGTATTGTGTCGCTTTGTGACCCAGCTTACAGCTCTCTGCCCTGGAACCAGAGACAGGGCAATCTAGACACCTTGGAAGACTCCCCTGAGCCCTAAGCCCAGTCTTTGGAGGTGAATCACCTCACCCCACCCCCTTGTGGTTGGAAGAGTCTGGCTCGGGTTGTGTCTGGAAGGCCAGACTGGCTCCAGAATGAATGAACGGACGATGAGTGGGACCCAGCGCGAGTGCTCCTCACTGGATCAGTGCCACACCTGGGCAGCCCTCTCCACCAGTCTCCTCTATAGGGGCTGGAAGATAAGAAGTGGGGTTGTCATGATTTGGGGGCATTTAGGGAAGTGATGGGGGAGGTGGGAGGAGTGAGGGTGGAAAGGTCACTTACTAGTAAACTTTTCTCTCCGTCGGCACCGTCTCCAGACCAGGAAACCAGAAAGCAGCGCCAAAACCAAGGCCAGACTAAGAGCGCCTCCCAGAATGGGCCAGAGCAGCCTGAAGGGAGCGGGAGGTGCCGCTGCGCCTAGTGGCCAAGACTCAAATCAGATCTTGCCCTTGGGAAGCCAGTCCGCCCTCAAGGGAGTCTCAAGCTTTGCCCCACACAGTGTTCCCCAACCTAATAGAAGCCCCTTCCCCGTCAGTCTTCCCTGACTTCCGAGATCCTTTTCGACGCCCCAGCAACCCTCTACCCACTTCTAGGATCCGCTTGCCACCGGCCCCGCCCCCACTCACATCCCAAGCAGAAGTCGCTGTGCGGTCGCGATGGACACGAAGCGCAGTCCATACACTTGTCGAGATCCGCGCTCCAGGAGCTGCCGCTAGAGCATGGGGCGGTGCCTGGGGAGGGGGCTGCAAGTCAGAAGCTGGCGGCTGGGCGCGGCTATTCTGGGGGCTGAGGTCAGGGTCAGTCGGCTCAAATAACGTGAGTCACCATCGCCCCCCCCCACACCCCCGCATTCCTCACAGGTGACCGCACCGCCTGACCAAGACACGGCAGTGCGGGAGGGGGTCCGGTAGCGCGCGACTGGGGGGGGGGGGTGATATCCTCCCCCCACCGCCAGTGTGACTCACTCCTGGGCACTGGGCCCGACCCCAGTCCCTCCTCCCGCATAACTGGGCATTGAAGTCACCGGATGGAAGGGGCACCCCCACATGGTATAGAGGGCAAAGACCCCAGTACCCCTTCATGATTCTTAGCTATCGGGACTGGTCAGATTCCATCACAGACCAGGGTGAGGGCATGCCCACTTCACAAAACAAACGTCCTTCCCTCTCTACTCTGGCTCGAACTTTTGAGACAGAAGACCCCGCACCTGATTGAACAGGCAGCGGAACTGAGACTTGGATTGTGGATAAAGATTGGAGTGGATTGAGATCTTCCCCACTTGAAACACACTGCCTAAAGACCATGGATCCCAGAACCCCATGTCTACCCGGTTCCACTCAGATCTCCAGGCACTCAAATTCCATTCCTGACCACCCCAAAGTCCGAGGTTCACCATCCTCTGAGCCAAGCATACCTGGTGCTTGTTCCCCGGCCGCGGCGCGTATCAGAACCAACCCGAGTCCCAACACGAGGATCTGCGGCAGAGGCCAAGGCCAACCCGGAGCCATGATTGCCGGTCCCGCTGCAACAGCAGTCTGTTCCCACTATCCGAGGGCCAAGACTCAGGGCTGGGGCCCCGCCCCGCCCCCGCCTTCCGGGGCGGAGCCCTTGCCTTTGCCCGCCCCAACATCCACTCTGAGCTCTGCGTGCCGAGAGCAAGCAGTCCCCTAACGAGCCATTCATTCAACTCAGTCCCTTCGAGTGTCTAGGACGTCGCGAAGACGTTTACCCTGACCCTCCCTCTGCGAGCCTTAGTCCCAAGGGTGTGGAGCGGGGAAAATCAGCTATAAGACAATTACAAAAAAAAAAAAATAAGTAAAAAGAAATTATCTATTATTTTTCAATTCTGGGGTGGAACCACCAGGCAAGCAACTGAGCTCTGCGCACAGCCTTTATGTTCGCTTGCTTTGTTTGGTTTTTTTGGTTTGTTTTCTTCTTTTTTTTTTTTTTTTTTTTTTGAGACAGGGTCTCATACTGTATCCCAGACTGGCCTCAAACTCGAAACAATTCTGTCTCCGCCTCCCAAGAGCTTGATTGCAGGGAGGCGCCACCATATCCATACTTCTTTGATTTCTTTGGTTTTGTTAGGCAGGATCTCGCTTTGTAGCCCAAGCTAGTCTCTATCTCCGAATTCTCTACGTTTGTTGTATGTGCGAGTTTTTGCACGCGACATTATTTTTTTAAAAAAGATTTATTTTATCTTTGTGTACGTGTGTGCGCCACATGTGTATAAGTGTCCCTGGCGTCCAGAGAGGGCAACGGATCTCCTAAAGATGGAATTACAGGTGCTTATAAGCTGGGTGCAAAAAAAAAAAAAAAAAAACGGTGACCTGTAAGAGCAGAAAGGCTCATAACTGGTGAGTCATCTTCCCAGACCCACATGCTGCTTTCTTTTTTTTTTTTTTTTTTTTTTTGGTTTTTTCGAGACAGGGTTTCTCTGTGGCTTTGGAGCCTGTCCTGGAACTAGCTCTGTAGACCAGGCTGGTCTCGAACTCACAGAGATCTGCCTGCCTCTGCCTCCCGAGTGCTTGGATTAAAGGCGTGCGCCACCACCGCCCGGCCACGTGCTGCTTTCTTAAGGGCCTCGAGGATATAACAAAACGAGTTGGCTCAGCGGTTAAAGAGGCTTGTTGCCAAGCCTGCCAATCTGGAGTTCGATCCCCGGGGCAAGTAGAGTAGAAGACCAGAACCATTGCTAGCCCTCTTCTGATCACAGGTACGCAGTATGACAGCCACACACCGCCCCCCGCCATGTGCCCTTTAATTTGTACCTTAGGACTTACCTGCAGACGGGCTATGAAAAGTTGAGTAAATTCTCAAGTCACAACTCAGCGGGTAGCAGGTGTTGACTTTGGAGTCTCCAGTAACTAAGGCACCCGGCCTAGAAACGCACGCTGGCTGCCGTCGTGGGGGGCGGGGGGGTCCTGCCCCTCCCAGAGGGAGGTGGTCCAGTGACGTAATTGCGACTTTAAGACCCCTTGCCTCCGCCCTCGTCCCTACTTTCGACTTGGGAATCTTTGCGGTCTCTTGCAGGTGAGCCTGGGGCAAGTGTGGAGATATGCAAGCCGGGGATGTGGCAGGGTGCGTGCGGGCGTGTGCAGAGAGCTGGAACTTCGATCCTAGCGGCAGCCACTTGGGTCCTCAAGTCCCTAGGTAGAAAGAGGTGCATCGAGACCCGCGAGGCGATCGAGTCCCCGCGGCCCCGGAAAAGTTAAGCACCCCTCCCCCTCCCTGGGACAAAGGCACCGAAACCCGGGACGCCCCTCCTCCACCTGCTTGGCTTCTGTGGGGCGGGACTCCCCTCCCCCTCACCTGCGGGCGCGGACCCAGCTTCGGGCGCCGCCATTAAGCCCCTCCTGGTCGCGCACTTCTAGGCTTGATAGATAACCAGCCAGCCCCGGGTGGCCGAGGCTTACAGACGCCCTCGGACAAAGCTGAGGGAGTACTCGGTAAGTGAAAAGGGACAGAGATGAAAAGAGGCGGATGTCTCTCTAGATCTTGACTCGGGTCTCCAGCGTGAGACTGCAAGGGAGAGGAGTCGAAAGGGGCCTATGCCATTCTTAGGTGCAAGGTGCACACTTAGAACCCAGGGTAATGGGGAGCCACAGCCTGGCGCCTAGCAGAACTGATCCCTCAGCGCCAACAATGTGAAGTGCGACGTGAAGGACACAGGTGCAGCCTGTCACAGAAGGCACTGGGGGTCTTGAATTTTAACTCCTTGGGAAGCTGTGTCCAGAGAGGGAAGGAAGCATGGCCTTTGATGTAAAATTCAATAGAATGCTCCCATCTTTAGGGCGTGCACCTTGACCCTTAGAAGTGGAGGCTGGACTGAGAATCGGCTGGTAGCCTAGAAAAATCTGCTTTTGGGTGAAAGGGTTTGTTTTTCCTCCTCCCTCTTGCCCTCCAGGGCGTGCTGAGCCTGGCCTGGAAGGGCCTCCAGCCACTCCCAGCGATTGGGAAGAGGTACCGGGAGTGTGGGGGAGGGCTAGGCCTGGGATTTCAAGGAATTAGATCCACCTGAACTGGAGCCTGGAGTGGAGCTGGGGGTTTCCTTTAGAGCCTGGGTGGGTGATGGGAGGAAGCTTGAGATCTCACCTGAGGGCTGAAGTGATAAGGTTGGACCTGAAACTTGTAGTTAGAGCCCAACCATCCCAAAATTACACCCCTGATATTTCACCCTCTTTGTGACACTCTGCTCACCTGATAAACTGTACCTGAGGATGCCTCTCAGTTTGTAGAGGGTTTGCCTGGCCCTGAGTTCGGTCACCAGCGCTGCCGTTATCTAGGTGAGGCCTTACAGGTAAACACCTGTTACCCCAGCACTCAGGAGTTGAAAGCAGGAGGGTCAGAAGTTCAAGGTCATCCTCAGCTAGCTGGTGCTATGTTAGACCCTGTCTCAAATAAAGTAAGTGTCCGAGAAAGCAGCTGTCACTGCACTGGCCCACGCTTTTAGCTTTGTCCTATTTCCTGTCACCTGCACAAAAAACTACAGGATTTTGTGCTTTGCCCATCACAGACTAGGGAAAAATTAAATTCTTGTTTGACTTTTGATTGGCCCAGGAAGTGTATCTAAGCCATACTGCAGAACAGAGTAGCCAACTGCCAAGGTACTTGGTGTTGGTATCGCAGCTGGCAAGATACAGAACATCTGGGCCTGCCACACTTTAACACTCCTATTTTCATCTTTCCACGCTACACAGCCCCTCAACCTCATCATGGCCTCTGCCAGTCTGCAAATCTTGGGGATCGTCCTGACCCTGCTTGGCTGGGTCAACGCCCTGGTGTCTTGTGCTCTACCCATGTGGAAGGTGACAGCCTTCATCGGCAACAGCATCGTTGTGGCCCAGATGGTGTGGGAGGGGCTGTGGATGTCCTGTGTGGTCCAGAGCACTGGCCAGATGCAGTGCAAGGTGTACGACTCGCTGCTGGCGCTGCCCCAGGACCTACAAGCTGCCAGAGCCCTCTGTGTCATCACCCTCCTCGTCGTCCTGATTGGCCTGCTGGTCTACCTCGCGGGAGCCAAATGCACTACCTGTGTGGAAGACAAGAATTCCAAGTCTCGACTGGTGCTCATCTCCGGGATCACCTTTGTCATCTCCGGTGTCCTGACCCTTATTCCTGTCTCCTGGACTGCCCACTCCGTCATCCAGGACTTCTATAACCCCTTGGTAGCTGATGCTCAAAAGCGGGAGCTGGGGGCCTCCCTCTATCTGGGCTGGGCAGCCTCGGGCCTTTTGCTGCTGGGTGGAGGGCTGTTGTGCTGTGCCTGCTCCTCTGGGGGGGCCCGGGGACCTGGCCATTACATGGCCCGTTATTCTACATCTGCCCCACATTCGGCCATTCGGGGACCCTCTGAATACCCCACCAAGAATTATGTCTGATGCTTACTGGGGAGTGAGGCTCTACTGGCCAGGGAACCTTAGGACCCTGAGCTGAGCCATCAAGAAACAATGCCTAGGAGTTTTGGGTTGTTTTTCTTGTTTTTCTTTTGCAGTAGCGGATATTGAACCTGGGGGCCCCACAAGTTTGGGGGGCAAGCACTCTACCGATGAGCTAGGGTTGGCTCTATCTGTTTTTGAGACAGGTTCTGGTTTTCCTGCCTCAACCAGTCCAGACTCTGTCTGCCTCTGCTGTTGGCATTTTGGTCATGCATCGGGAGGGGTGACACTTTTAGTCTGTGTCTTTATTCACTCTGGGCATCTTCTGTGGAACCTGTTTTGAGACCACTTGTGAATCTGGCCTTTGTGAACCCCAAGATGGCCTGTTCCAAGAGTCCCCAGTCCTGGAAGGGCAGGTGATAAGTTACCAAAGAATTTTCTACTCCAAGTCTTCCAACCTTTGGCCCCTACATCCCCTTACCAAAGTTACCATGGTCTCCCCCAGATCAGGACCCTCCACCCCCGTTTCTCTAACCTTGCACATTTCCCTGCCCACACATTTTACTAAATAAAAGATGGTTTTTATAATGTGCCTTTGATGTCACTTGGTATTTGGTACAAGCGTAACTAGAGGGAGGTGGCAGTTCCATAATCAATTCCAAGCTTTTCTGGCTCAGACCCCATATTCTAAGCCAGTAAGCTTGCTGGCTGGAACCTGGAGCACCCCGCACCCCCATGCCTTTCCACAGATCAGAGGAAGCGCAGTTACAATGTGCTTTTATTACCAGCTCAGGTTGGGGAGTGGGTAGGGCACCGGGCAGCTTGGACTCAGGCAGTGGTTGGGCTGTTAGGTCACAGTGCGCATCTTATTTTGAAGGCAAGGAGGCTGAGGTCCAGGTTCTTGGGGTAAGGCAGAGCTCAACAGAGGAGAAGACACTAAGTCAGTTCAGGAGAGGAGACCACAGCAATACCCTGGGAGTCAGGGAAGGGCCAGGGTACCCAGTAGCTTTGGCGCATTCACAAGGTTGCAACCACTGCAAAGGGCTGGCTCAAGACGGACCAGCTGAGATTCTCCTAGAGCCAAGTCTTAGCCAAACAAAGAAGTGAGTGGTGCATGAGTTGATGAGAGATGCAAGGGCACAGCCCAGTGCCTGGGCATAAGGCTCTGGTTCCAGCTTCTGGGGGAAGCCTCACACATAGTCCCTCTTATCCAGTCCTGAAGCACCCGAACGGGAGGGGATGGAGTAGCCCAGCCTGGGTCCACGGGGCCGCTCGAAATGGGACGGGGGACACGTGCAGCAGAGGAGCCCTCCACCCAGCATGAGCAGTGCCGCCGCTGCCCAGCCCAGGTAGAGGGAGGCCCCCAACTCTCTCTTGAGGGCTTCAGCCACCAGTGGGTTATAGAAATCCTGGATGATGGCATGGGCTGTCCAGCAGACAGGGATGAGCACCAGGATGCCCGAGAGGAGAAGGAGGACCCCTGCGGTGAGCACAATTCGGGCCTTGGCACCTTCGTCCTCCACGCATGTGGTGCACTGGGCACCCGTGATGGCCACCAGCAGGCCCAGCAAAGCCAGCAGGAGGGCAACAACACAGAGGGCTCTGGCAGCCTGCAGGTCCTGGGGCAGCGCCAGCAGCGAGTCGTACACCTTGCACTGCATCTGGCCAGTGCTCTGGACCACACAGGACATCCACAGCCCCTCCCACACCACCTGGGCCACAACGATGCTGTTGCCGATGAAGGCAGTCACCTTCCACAGTGGTAGGGCACAGGACACCAGGGTCCCTAGCCAGCCTAGCACTGCCAGGGTCATGCCCAGGAGTTCAAGACCAGTTGAAGCCATCTGCTCCTCTGGTCTTCTCAGCTCTCAGCCTGAATCACGCACTCGACAGGGTTGGGGGCGCGGAGTTCGAGTTCGGGTGGGTCTCACTGCTCAGGAGGTGAATCTGTTGCTCTCGGGCCAGGACAGACCTCACATGGGCGGACCTCGCACATCTGATACTCACTGAATACCAAGACGTCCTTAGGTCTTGCTCAGCAGGATCAGGATCGCCTGTGGCCCATCAGAGACCCTCCAAACCTGCCACGGACTCAGAACAGCCGCGGTCCTCTCTGCTGGCTGCTCCCGTCCTTTCTCGGTTGAAGTCCTCTAGGCTGGTACACTGCTTGTCTCAAAACAGAACTGTGAGGTGTCACCTGGGGCGTCTGAGGGCGCTGGTTGCAGGCGGGGTTTTAAGGCCTAGGTAGGGGAGGAGCCGGGCAAGGGACCTAGAGGCTCCATTGGGTAACAGAACCAGAGCAGTGGTGAAAAGGGGGTGGGATGGGGGCCCTCAGGTTTAGGGTAGGGTGCCAAGACCAAGTGGAAACCGGGGTCAAAGGAATTCCGGGAAGACAGGACACACAGAAAAGGGACGAGAGGAGCCAATTTATTGGCTTGGAACAGAGAAATGGGCCGATGAGTTCTCAGCCTCAGCCTGCGCCCTCTTTGCCACCTGTCTGATTCACTCTGTGGGGAAAATATGCCCCCATTATCCATCATCGTACCCCTCTCCACCCCCACCCTTTCAGGACTCTCTGGAATCTGATCTGTCTCCAGTCTCAGTTCAATAACCCCGGCAGCTCCTAGGGGAGAGGCCCCGCCTACAGTTTCCCAGACAACAGGTACCTGGCGCCCAGCTCAGGTGGCATTACCAAGGCAACGGCCTAGAAAACTACTCCCCCCCCCCCCCATACACACACGCATACGATTCTACCTCAGCTCAGGTGTTCCCACTCCACCCCCATTGCCGAAACTAGGGGGCTGAGCCTAGCGGCTGGAAGTCCCTAGTGGCCTAGTGATAAAGAGCCCGTTGTAGCGATGGGGAGGGGCAGAAAGGGGCCTGGGGCAAGAAGGGACAAGGAGGGGACTCTGGGATAGGGATTTCTGATAGTTACATGAATAGCCAGCCAAGCAAGCCCAGACACTACGGAGGTGGGCAAAGGGGTCAGGTCCCTGAGCCCTGACTTCCGGTCCCTTAGCGTCTCCATTCACAGAATGCTGCCTGATTTCAGCTCAAATTCTGATCCCACCGGGGTGACTAGGGAAGACTAAGTGTCTTAACCTCTTTGGGCCGGAGACTGAGTTGAGAAAACTTAGATTCTGCATTTCACAAGGGACCACAATCCTGCCAATATGTGCACATTTCAGGGAGGTCATGGGAGACATGAGCAATGCCCTTCTGGAGGTTAAGAACTTCTGAGGCCTTTTCCTTTTTCTTTTTTCACTTTGGACAGTATTATAGCCCTGACTGGCTGGGACCTTACTGAGATCTGCCTGCCTCTGCCTCCTGAGCCCTAAGAGTAAGGTGTATACCACCATGCTCAGCTTCTAAGGACTATTAGGGTTAAGAAAGAAAGAACGAAAGAAAAAGAAAGAAAGAAAGAAAGAAAGAGGGGAAAAAAAGAGGCCAGGCCAGCAACCTGAATCCCAGGTGTTTCACCTGCATGTATATAGGCACATGTGTTCCTGGTGCCTGTAAAGGCCAGAAGAGAACAGTAGATTCTCTGTAACTAGCATTACAGGTGGTTGTGAGCTACCAGGTAGGTACTGGGAATCAAACCTGGAAAGAGTGGTCTTAACCACTGAACAATCTCTCCGGCCACAGTCCAGAGGTGTTTCAAGCCAAGCAGTAGTGGAACATGCCTTTAATCCCAGCACTCCAGAGACAGAGGCAGGCAGACGCGTCTGTGAGTACAAAGAAACCCTATCGGCCAGGCGGTGGTGGCGCACGCCTTTAATCCCAGCACTCGGGAAGCAGAGGCAGGCGGATCTCTGTGAGTTCGAGACCAGCTTGGTCTACAAGAGCTAGTGCCAGGACAGGCTCCAAAGCCACAGAGAAACCCTGTCTCAAAAACAAACAAATAAACAAACAAACAAAAACAAAGAAACCCTATCTGGAAATAAATCAAAGCAAAAAAAAAAAAAAAAAACCAAAAACCTTGCAGGTATGGTGGCATATGCCTGCCTTTAATCCTACCACTCAAGAGGCAGAGATGGGTGAATCTCTGTGAGTTCAAGGCCAAGCTGGTGTGTATGTGTGTGTGTGTGTGTGTGTGAGAGAGAGAGAGAGAGAGACAGAGACAGAGACAGAGAGAGAAAGGAATAATGAATACACCCAATGTCAACAGACTTCCACATGTGTGCAAGCATCCACAGGCAAGTACAACTTTGCATGCGCGCACACAAACGGATAGGACATAATAGCTTATGCCAATCTCAGCACTGCAGACTCTGACACAGTAGAGGATCACCAAGAGTTCAAAGCCAATCTGGGTTACACAGTGAAACTCTGTCTTTTAAAAGAAAGATAAGAAAAGCCAGGCATTGTGGTGCATGCCTTTAATCCCAGCACTTGGGAGGCATAGACAGGCCAGCCTGCACTACAGAGCTAGTTCCAGGACAGCAAAGTCTACACAGAGAAATCCAGTCTCAAAAAACAAAAAACAAACAAACAACAAAAGGAAAAAAAAAGAGGCCTGGAGTACTGACATATACCTCTAATCCTGGATCCTGTATATACTCAGCTGCACCCACATACACATAAATCTTTTGGGGGGGGTTGCTTTTGTTTTTGTTTTTTTTTTCGAGACAGGATTTCCCTGCATAGCTTCAGAGCCTGTCCTGGAACTTGCTCTGTAGACCAGGCTGGCCTCGAGCTTACAGAGAGCTGCCTGCCTCTGCTCCCCAAGTGCTGGTCCCTGACCACATAAAACTTTTTTTTTTTTTTTTTTTTTTTTTTTTTTGGTTTTTCGAGACAGGGTTTCTCTGTGGTTTTGGAGCCTGTCCTGGAACTAGCTCTTGTAGACCAGGCTGGTCTCGAACTCACAGAGATCCGCCTGCCTCTGCCTCCCGAGTGCTGGGATTAAAGGCGTGCGCCGCCACCGCCTGGCTGCGTGCTTTTTATTATAAGGAAGACCTGGGAATGTTATGGTTTTGGTCCCTTTAAGAGATAAAGCCACACCC